CTTTCTCTTCCCCTCCCTCTCTTTCTGCCTCTCTTTCCCCTTTCTTTCTTTCCCTACCTCCCTCTTTCTCTCTAACTTTCCCTCCCTCTCCCTTTCCCTCCCTCTCTGTCTCTCTTCCCCCTCTCTCTCTTTCCCTCCCTCCCTTTCTCTCTCTCTCACTCCTCTTTCCCCCCTCTCTCCCTCTTTCCCTCCCTTTCTTTCTTTCTCTTTCTTTTTCTCCCTCTCTGTCTCTATATCTCTCTGTCTCTTTCTTTCTCTCTTCTCTCCATCTCATCTATCTCTATCTACCTACCTACCTACCTATCCCTCTCCCTCCCTCCAGCCAACCATCCATCATCTATCTGTCTATCTATCTATCTATCTATCTATCTATCTATCTATCTATCTATCTATCTATCATTTATCTATCTATCTATCATCCTTCCGTGCTCTCCTGCCCAGCTTCACATGTCGTGTGAATCCAACAACTTGGGTTGTGAAGGGGAAGCTTAGTGAGGAGGAAGACAGTGGCCTGTTTGGTTCGCTTCAGTGCGGGGTGGGAACGCAGAAGGCAGAGGAAATCCGTGCCTCTCGACTTTCAGCCCTCAAAGACTCCTTTGGGGTGACTGGGAGGGGAGGGTGAGGGGCGGGGCCAGCCACTGGTGCGATCACCTGACAGGGAGCCGCAGTGGAGGGATGAAAGAGCCCGCGTCTTGCCGACACTCGCCCTATGGCACGCTGTGCTGGGGCAACAGCACGCTCGCCCACAAAGAGGGCTCTGCGTGCCACCTCTGGCATATGTGCCATAGGTTTGCCACCAGGGCCCTATACTATTTCAGACAAATAGTTGCCCAGTCTCTTTTTAAAAGCCTCCAGTGATGGAGCACCCACAGCTTCTGAGGGCAAGCTTATGGTTTATTGTTCTGTCAGAAAGTTTCTCCTCAGTTCCAGGTTTCTTCTCTCCTTGATTAGTTTCCACCCGTTGTTTATTGTCTTGGCTGCAGGTACCTTGGAGAATGGGTTCACCCTTCTTTGTGGCAGCCCCTCAAATATCAGAACATTGAACACATAAACACGGAAAACCATCCCTTCTCCCTCACACCACCACTACCGCCATCTCTGCCAGTCTGCCAAACTGAAAAGGTTTTAAGGAATCTGATAAAATGTACTGTGATCTTTCGAAGTCTGAATGATTAAATACACTTTTTTTTTTTTTAAATTTTGATTTATATGCCGCCCTTCTCCGGAGACTCAGGGCGGTTTACAATGCGTTAAGCAATAGCCTTCATACTTTTGTATATTTTATACAAAGTCAGCTTATTGCCCCCACAAACTGGATCCTCATTTCACCTACCTTAGAAAGGACGGAAGGCTGAGTCAACCTTGAGCCTTGGAGCGATTCGAACCAGCTGTAAATTGCAGGCAGCTGTGTTAATAACAGGGTGCTTAGACCACTGTACCATCAAGGCTACACTGTACCATCAATACACTGATCTTTGTATACTGTAAAGTTTTCTTTTTTTTTCTTGACTGAGTGTGTTAAAGAAATTTATGCCATTTTGGTCATCCTGGTATTTGGAATTTATCAAGACATCAAATCCTGAACATATCGGTCAAGGACATTGACTGCAAGAATTATTACAGACTATTGAAAGGAGGTACAAATAATCTCATTTAACAACCAAAATTGGAAATGGCAACTCAGTTATTAAACAAAGCAGTCTGTCAACGGTCCAGCTAGTAAACCCCCCAAAATAAGGAACTCTCAGAGTCATTGAATCCCCAAAAATAAAACTTTATTGAATTCACCCTCTCAGTACTGAAAAAGCAAAACCAGCTCAGGTTTTTCCGCGTGAAAGCTTGCTCAGTTAAACAATAGATTCCCTTTCTCCCACCCCTCCGATGTTCATGTTGTCCAGTTGTAAAACTTCTTTTTGTTATGGGAACAGTCCGCTTCTCCAGCAATCACCTGCAGTAGTGATTTTGGCGTTTTGCAAGTTCTCGTCCTCTGAGGATGGCATCTTAGCATCCCGTTTCCTCCTTACACATTCCACCCCTTCCTCCCTTTTCATTGGCAAGTTGAATAGCAAGAGGTAGAAAGCAGAAAGCGATTCAATCTTGACACAGTCATTAAATTGGGGGGAAGGGGTTTCCAGGAAGGAGGCAAAGATTTTTATACAATTGATTTATTTTATTTTTTAGTTGTCTACTTGTAATTTTCCGATTCTTGAACCGCAATCAAGTTTCAAGTTTATTAGATTTCTATACCACCCTTCTCCCGAAGGACTCAGGGTGGTGTACAGCCATATTAAAACACATAGGGTTATAACATTTAAAACCAAATTAAAATCAATATATAAAATTGGCCCACAAATTTAAAACACACATACACCCATGATAAAAATCATATTAGGCCAGTCCGGCTTGCTAGAACAGGAGGGTCTTAAGGGCACGGCGAAAAGTACGCAGGTCGGGGCTAAGACGGAGCTCTAAGGGCAGCTCATTCCAGAGGGCTGGTGCCCCCACAGAGAAGGCTCTCCCCCTGGGGGTCGCCAGTCGGCATTGTTTGGCCGACGGCACCCTGAAGAGCCCCCCTCTGTGGGAGCGTATTGGCTGGTGGGAGATTGTTGATGGCAGAAGGTGGTCTCATATATACCCCGGTCCTTAAGTTATTTATTTATTTATTTTATTTCACTTTATTTCTATACCGCCCTTCTCCTGCGGGACTCAGGGTGGTGTACAGCCAAGATAAAACATTGCATATAAAATTTAAAAACAATTTAAAAAACAATTAAATAATTTCGGCCCAAGATTTAAAAACAACCCAATTAAAACCGAATTCAATTAAAACTGAGAGGATGGGATCAAGCCAGCCCGGCTAGATGGAATAGGTGTGTTTTCAGGGCCCGACGAAAAGTCCGGAGGTCTGATATCGTGCATATCTCAGGAGGTAGGTCATTCCAGAGGGCGGGTGCTGCCACAGAGAAGGCTCTCCCCCTGGGGATCGCCAGCCGGCAATGTCTGGCCAACGGCACCCTGAGGAGGCCCTCTCTGTACGAGCGAACCGGTCGGTGGGAGGCTATTGGCAGCAGAAGGCGGTCTCGCAGATACCCCGGCCCTAAGCCATGGAGCGCTTTAAAGGTGGTCACCAACACCTTGACGCGCACCCGGAAGACCACAGGAAGCCAGTGCAGCTCGCGCAGAAGAGGTGTCATATGTGAGCGCCCTGTCGCTCCCATAATCCCCCGCGCGGCCGCATTCTGGACTAACTGTAGCCTCCGGGTGCACCCCAAGGGGAGCCCCATGTAGAGAGCATTGCAGTAGTCCAGGCGGGAAGTGACAAGTGCTTGAGTGACCGTGCGTAGGGAATCCCGATCCAGAAAGGGGCGCAACTGGCGTATCAGGTGAACCTGATAAAAAGCCCCCCTGGCCACGGCCCTTATTAAAGAAGGACATGACTAAGGCTCTATCACCAACCCACGGGGACATTATTTCCTTTGGACTTTAGATCAGGCTGAACCACGATGACCTTTTGTTTTTCTTTCAGACGTCCTTGAGATCGGGAGAGAGTTAAGCCTGTGAGTTTGTTCATATCCCACCTTTATCCTTTTCATAAAGAACTCAAGGCTGAGGACATAAATAACGCTCTTTCCTTGTCCTGTTTTCCTCACAACAACCCTGTGGAGACAACGATAACTGGCCCAAAATCACACAGCTGACTCTTGTGCCTGAGGTGGGACTTGAACTCACTGCCTCCTGGTTTCTAGCCTGGTGCCTTAAGCACCACAGGTAGTCTTCAACTTACGACCAGAATTAAGACCAACATTTCTATTGTTAAGTGAAACATTTGTTCAGTGAGTTTTGCCCTATTTTACGACTTTTTTCCACACGGTTGTTAAGTGAATCACTGAAATTGTTAAGTTAGTAACATGGTTGCTAAGTGAAACTGGCATTGACTTTGCTTGTTGAAAGGACACAGAAGGGGATCACATGACTCCAGGACACTGCAACCGTCATAAATATGAACCAGTTGTCAAGTGTCCAGATTTTGATCAAATGACCACAGGAATGCTGCAACGGGCATAAGTGTGAAAAACTGTCCTAAGTCACTTTTTTCAATTCCTTTGTAACTTCAAACAGTCACTAAATGAACTGTTGTAAGTCAAGGACTCCCTGTAGACTAAACTGAATGAATTTGTGGCTGACTGGTTTATCCTTGCTCATTTTTCTTTCATGCGTTATATTTATTGTCTTTTGTTCTTGTATTGATATTTTTGTTGTGTTGGCTGACCAGAGCCTCTTACGTCAGCTGGGCGGTCATATATTCTAATTAAGAAATAAATTTCTAAAAGTTTTGAATCAGTAGAAGAGGCTGAAATATGCATTGAATTCTTGCAAAATGCTTTCAAGTTTACTTTTTAAGCTTTCAAAGATGCTAGTCCAGAGGGAGAGGGGGAGGAGAGACCCCATCCTTTTCACTCCTCCGTGCCCCCAAAGCATCCCCTGTAATATGGGTATTCCTCCCCATAAATCAGGGGTCTCCCCACTCTGGGGCCACTGCACCTGAAGAGCCCAGAGAGGATCTCCCAGAAGCAGGAGAAGCTGCCCTTCTGCAAGGGGACCAGGACGGCTCTGGCCGGTCACTGAACTCCTGTCTCCGAAAAGGGCCACAGGCTGAGGCTCAAAAATCAGCTGTAAAACACCAGCCACTTGGCCAACATCCTGAGGCAAAGGAGGATTTGAGGGAAAAGCAGCCTCTGTTGCTGCCACCACCAAGCCAAAACCAAGCAGCCATTTTACAGGTGGTCAACTGGAGATGCCAGCTGGACACGGGAGCAAGATGGCTGCCTCCTCCCCAAAGGAGCACACAGGAGCCACATCTGTTCTTGCTCCTTCCAAGTTTTGCCTTGGTTCTTCCCTCTCCTCCTCCTGCTCAAAGTTAAATTGGGGCCTCTGAGCAACAAATTAAAAGGGTAAAATCCCTCTTAATTCCAACCTCCCCAAACATACAGCAACTCAGGTAAGAGGAAAAGAAATCATTTATTTTCAGCAAACAATTTTGGCAAACTTACAAAATATGTCCCATTGTTAAGGAGGTAGCAGCCTGACTGCAATTGATCTCCTGTTCCATTTTTCTAAATCATTAAAATCCATAAATGGCAAGCTATTAAAAATCAGTGTTAATTGTTACAATGGTATATTATTTATCAAACTTTGTGTTATCAAATATATGGTCAAATAACTGCAATAATCAATTAAAAATGCATCAACTATTTTAATGAAAAAAATCTCAAAATGCACACTTCTCTTAGTAATAGTTTCATTGAATATTACATTAAACAGATAAAACTAACACAAGGAAACAAAGAAAAAGCAACCTCCACCTTTATCCCCAACAAGTAAAATGAAAATTAACAACTTATCAATCTTTCTTAAAGTAAAACCAATGAACTCTTCATCCTATTCCTCATTCTCCATTCTCTATCAACCCATCTCTAAAACCTCATCTTTAACCTCTAATCTCCATCCACTAAAATTAATCAGCAAAAGCCCATTAAGCCCATTGTTATGCAAGCTAACTATTATAAACTATTATCTATGAAATCCAATTTGAAATCTTTTGATCTCACAATTAGTAACACATAACGTATTATTTTCTCCATATATCTTCAATCATAATAGAAAAGGATTACTGATTCAATGATAAAAGCAATGATGAAAGACCCAGAATCTATCCTGGTTCCAGCATGCAGGAAGGGCCTGAAGGGCTCCAGCTAAGAGCCTGGCCTAATTCAGAAGAAGGCTGATCCCTCTTCATTCCTCTCTCTTTATTCTGGGGGTGTCCACTGCAAAGAGGAGGGAGAAAGTATCCAAGGGTTAGTTGGATCAAGACAGTGGGAGCCTGAGAGGTGCCACAGGATAAGAGTTTGGGAGTAGGAAGACCCCTCCCCTGAGCCCTCCCCCCCAAATTCCTTCCCTTCCAGTGTGAGATGAATAGGAGAGAGAAGAGGGATTTCCAAAGCATCTTCACCATCACTTGATCCTTGGACCCCATAGCCCTCCCCTCCCTCCCTCCCTCTCCCCCCATATGCCCCCCCTCCAGTCCACTCACCTGCAAGGGGGCTGCTAAACAGTCTGATTGCTCCCTGGATTGGAGAAAAAGTCACAGAATGAATCAATGTCTTGTCCTGTGAGGAGGCCAAATCTCTCTTCACCATTAAACCTCTTCAGCTTCAAACTTCTCACAAAGACATAAAGATTTTATTAATTTATTAATTAAACTTCCATCCCAAATATCTCATTAAGGTGACTCTAGGCAGCTCACAGTAAAATTCAATAAAATGCCACGTAGAATATTTAAAACAATAAATAAAAACCAGATTCCCCCATCAGATCATGTTGCCATTGTTCCAACAAGAAGATCATGTCCACTGGGTGACCGCTGTCTCGAGTTGGACCCAGGATGATCTGGGAGAGACCCACGGATGCCATGGAGGCCATGAACTCCTGGAGGCCAAACCCAGGGATGGCAGATTGAAGTCTCCCAGGACCAGAATCCTGGGCAAGTCCAAATCCATGCCAACCCTGAGGTGGCCCCCAGCAGCTGAGGCAGGGAGGTGACCATGCAGCAGGGAGGCTGGTACTGTAGCAATAAGCCCAACTGGTCCAGTGAGCCCAGAGTCAGAAACAGGGAGTCACAACCAGAATCGTGGGGTGGGAGCATCCTGAGTGCCAGAAGAGATTCTCAGAGGACCACTGTAACCCCACCAATCTTGCCTGGGATCTTGGTTGGGGCCAAACCCTAAACCCAGCTGGGCACATCTCTGAAAGAGGGAATCCCGCCCCCCTTCCACAGTCAGTCAGGTCTCAGCTATGCCACCAGAAAAGTCTCTAACCACTGGGGATCATGGCATCGCTAGTGGTTTCCCTATTTCCCCTCAAAGAATTGAGGGCTCGTTCCTCTAATGGGGGCCAAGGCTCCACCATGCAGACTCTGGGCTGCCTTCCCTGCCTGAATCCAACAGGGAGAGTTTCCCTTCTCCTCTGCAGGATGAACCAGTGCAAGGAAAGAGAATTTTGTGACACCCGGCCGGCTTTCGTGCCTAAGGTGGGACTAGAAATCATGGTCTCGCCTGGAGCCCTCACCACTAAGCCAAAACGGCTCCAATTATTCTTATGATTCCACCAGAACCAGACTCAGAGGGAACCCAGGGAGGATGAATTAGGGGAGGCTTTAAAAAGGGGGGCCTCTCCCTCTTTTCATCTTCCCATGCACCCAAAGTCTTGCAAAGGGAGAGAATGGCTCTTGTAGGAGCAGCAGCAGCTCCCTCCGACTTACCCTGGCCTGAACTGTTGGATCCTTTGTCACTTGCTGGAAAAGAAAGAAAGAAAAAGAGGGTGAGAAAGTTGCTCTCTTGGCTTATAGGTGGAGAAGCTCAACTTTTTCTGGCTCCAGCTCCCTCCGTCCCTCCGTCCCTCCGTCCCTCCCTCTCTCTCTCTCTCTCTCTCTCTCTCTCTCTCTCTCTCTCTCTCTCTCTCTCTCTCCCTCTCTCTCTCTCTCTCTCTCTCTCTCGCACACAATCAAAGACTCATAAACACATGGAAGAGTTTGGATCAAACAGCTTTGGCTAAAAGGCATCGGAAAGAATTCTTAAAATGTGTGTGTAGATCCCACAAAGCCAGAAGGCAGGGCTGACTTAAAAAGATGCAGATGGATCCAAAGTTTCTTTTTCTTACCAGTTCGTACTTAGTGAGCCTTGTGATGGGAGACCAAGAGGAGATCAGGTGGCATCCCCCAAAGCTCCTTTTCTCTCAAAATGCCCCCCGTTGACCCCTAATTTTATGGAGCTTCTGACTCTCCTTTGGCCAAGCCTTCCCTTGCTGCCTACTTGGGAAGCAGAGCATGTTCTCAGTCAGAGGGACCTTCCACCAGCCGGGTCTTCTCATCGTCTTGAAGGTTCCTTCTCCCAGATGTTTCTCCTGGAGGACTCCACTCCCACTAACACCCTAACTCAGGGGTGGGTTCCTACCGGTTCGCTCCGGATCTTGCGAACCGATAGTAGCGGCAGTGGGAGGCTCTGCCCACCCGCCATCATGTACACTCTGCACATGCGCAGAAGCACTGCACCCACGCAGAAGTGCTGCACATGCTCCCAATGCAAACCATTAGCAAAGGTAAGTGGAACCCACCCCTGGCCTAGCTGTAATGAAAAGGGGGCCCATCTTCCCCAGCCTGGATCTTCGAAGGAAGAGGAAGAAAGCACACACAAACATACATGCACACACCCCTCTCAATTAATGGTGCCTCTGGTCCCTGCTCTAAATCAGAGATTACGTGTAAAGAGGACAAGTCACTCACTTGGCGTTGCTTTGTAGCCATCCTGACGTTTCTCTGCAAGGATAAAAATCAGTGAAAGCTCAAAAGAAGCCACCAGAGATCATCCAAACTCTCCCTCGTAGGAGGAAGAACCCCAGGAGATAGTTCACAGTCACTTTGTCCCATGAACAAAGACAGAAAGACCTTCAAAATACAAATGTATCTCCTGATTTGCCCCAAGAGAGACCTGCTGCCTCTGAGATGGATGGAGGGGAATTGGGGGAAGCAGCAGCAGCAGCTGGGAGGGGAGGAAGACTTCCATGGAAATCCTTCTCTGCTGCTCTTTGATCAGTTCTGTCCCTTTAAGAGGGACAGAACTGGGATGCCTCTTCCCAACTCAGAAGAAGACATGATTGACCCAACCTCAAACTCAGCTGAATCAAGACTGGAGTCCCAGTGAGAGGCTGAAATCTCAGATGCTCCCCAAGAGGGCTGGGAAAACAGGACTTCTGAAGCTGATAAGTTTCCCAAAGGGAGAGATTTGGGGGGAATCTCCCAATCTTCCTTCCATCACCCTCCCCCCCAAAAGATACTTACTGAGGAATACCAGGAGGATCCCAGCAATCGCACCCACCAGGACAAGAGCAGCCACAACGCAGCCGATGATGAGCCACGGGATGGATTTTGAATTGGTTGGTTCTGAATGGGGAGAAAGAGCAGATCATTGACGGAGAACCCAAAACATGACCTAAAGAAGTGAAAGCTGGAAATACCCAAAATTAAAAACTCCATGGGCTCATTTTTGTGTCCTTCTCAAGGTAACATGAAGACGCCTTGCTAACCGTTGTTAGAGGACGTGTCCTCATGACGCTGCCTCCTTCTCACCCCAGCCCAGCATGAAGGCAACTGAATTCATCTTTGGCTTTTCCACTCAAAAACAGCCATTTTCAGCCTTGTTTTTTTAAATTTTTTTTAAAAAAATTTTTAAATTTGATTTATATGCCGCCCTTCTCCGGAGACTCAGCGCAGCTTACAATGCGTTAAGCAATAGCCTTCATACTTTTGTATATTTTATACAAAGTCAGCTTATTGCCCCCACAAACCGGGTCCTCAATTTACCTACCTTAGAAAGGATGGAAGGCTGAGTCAACCTTGAGCCTGGTGTTAATCACAATGCTTTTAGTCTGCAGAGCCACCAGGCCCCTTAGCAGCTTGCAAAACAAAAACTTCACCAACACAATAATGTAAACAAAATTTGTTAAAACAAAAACAGTTTTGTTGTTTTTATAAGCTGCTCCAATAAGCCATGACTCTGAGTGGAAATGGGCAGATCTGTACGCTTTTTTCTTCAGTTTGAGTGTTTGCATTTTATTATTTAAAGTAAAATAGTTCATATCTCCTAGACTTTTTTTTTAAATATACACTTTATTTTCCTTGGCCAGTCCAGGAATAGCAAAAAATTATAATTTGTGCTTCCAGAACTTCAGCATGAAAAATGGCATATGGTGATAAGCAGCTTCTGGATGGTCCCACAAATGGCAGAAATAGAATAACGGAGTCACAGAGTTGGAAGGGACCTTGGAGGTCTTCCAGTCCAACCCCCTGCTCATTCCAGAGGCCCTCTACCCTTCCAGACAAGTGGCTCTCCAGTCTCTTCTGAAGGGAAGCCATTCCACTGATTAATTGTTCTCCCTGTCAGGAAATTTCTCCTCAGTTCTAGGTTGCTTCTCTCCTTGTTTAGTTTCCACCCATTGCTTCTTGTCCTGCCCTCAGGTGCTTTGGAGAATAGCTTGACTCCCTCTTCTTTGTGGCAGTCCCTGAGATATTGGAACGTATCATATATCCCCTAGTCCTTCTTTTGATTAAACTAGAAATGCCCAATTCCTGCAACTGCTCTTCATATATTTTAGCCTCCAGGCTCCTAATCCTCTTTCTTAATTTAATTTAATTCAATTTAATTTCCAATTTATATACCGCCCTTCTCCCTGAGGACTCAGGGCGGTGTACAGCCAAGATAAAAACATAGAATACAAATATTAAAAACAGTTAAAAAAATATATAAATTTTGGCCCGAAAGTTAAGAAATCACAGACTGATTAAAAGAATTTAAAAATTTCTTGCTCTTCTCTGCACTCTTTCCAGAGTCTCCACATCTTTTCTATATTGTGGCAACCAAAACTGGATGAAGAATTCCAAGTATGGTTTTAGCAAAGCATCATAAATTGGTATTGCTTGGGGGAGGGGAGCAGTTTTGAGGAGGGAACTTCAAATTTAAATTTCTCTTGCACAAAATTCAGGATTCCCATTGAATAGCAATCATGCCACTTCTGAATTGATGCTTGCTATAAAAAACCAGAAAAATAAAACAAATATTTTATTTTCCCTGGGATATCAGCATAACAATTACATTTGAATATTTCTTGTATCGTGGTGACAATCATCAATAAAAAAATTAGAATTTGAATTTTGCAAATTTGGACGTCCAGTATAAAAAACATTAGGGACGCTTATGAGAGAGGGATCTTTTCCTTGGGTTTTATGCTGAGCCTCGGGAATTCATGTATCGTATCATAAAATAATGTGCAACTTCTTTCTTAGAGCAGCAACACAGGGTGACCTTTTGACTTTTAAAGCAGGAAATCCTGTTAGTCTCTAATGGGAAAAAAAACTCAGACTTTGGTACTTTCTTTTCTGACTCCTGAAGCATCAGTCCAGCTACTCTCTGCATTTCCTGAACTCAGCTGCAGTTCATCCGGTTTAATCAGAATTTGCCTTCAGAAAAGGGGCTACCAGACTCCTCCTGATTCTTCTACTTTAGGAACTGTAAACAAAAGGAAATCTCTTTCTGGTGCTCAGCATAACTGCTGCTTTTCTGCTGGGGGCAAGAAACAGGGAAGGCCTCAGAGAGGATCTAAGGGCATTTCATCAGGATCGGCCAAGTATTGTGATGGGAGTCTGTAGTTTCCATCACCTGAAGCCAGTTCTATGGTCTGGTCCCTGCAGCTTCACCAACCTCAAACACTGGAAAAACCAATGGCTTAAAGCTCAGGTATGTTCACACCTGGACACAATTGGGGTCAGATTTCTCTCCCACAACCCTCCAGGCTGCCAAAGAGCCCAGCCTTCCCCTCCCTGCAGCCTCTCACCCTTCAGTTCCAAGTCCAGAGGCTCCTGCAGGCTGTCATGATCCACATGGCATCGATAGCGGTCTCTCTCTTTGGGATCGATCTTGACACTGATCCAGTAGTGGTAGGTCCCATCCGCATTGGGGGCCACAGGCTCATGGAGGGTGTCCTCCTCCCAGACCTCCCCGTCCCTCGTCCAGGAGGCATCGATCTCCCTGGGGTAGAAGCCATGGACCTGGCAGATGTGCGTCTCCATCCCATCCTCCACCTCCGTCCTGCTGCTCACCGTCACCTTTGGGGTCTCTGCAGAAACGGCACCCCCAGAATTAACTCTGAGCCCCTCCAGGGCCTGGAAGGTGGATGAGAAACTTGCACATTTACAAGTTTTATTGGTTCCCCCCCCCCATTTCCCCACATCTTTTTTGAACAGAGTATTGGCCGTTTCTTGTCTTATACAATTAATTAAATTCAAATATATTTTACTCAATTACAATTCTTGCCAAAATCCCCCCCCTTTTTATCATATCTCACTATTTCTATGCTTACTTACATACACAATATCTTCATTTGCCCTTAAATTCTAATTTTACTATTTATTCATGTTTATCCCCTTTTATTCTTTAACAATTCATTTTTATCTTAATATATTTGTATTTGTTCGGGGTTGCCTTTCTTCCATTTCCTCTTTTTTATTGTACAGCAGTCTTTCTCCTCCAACCTACCATCTCCCCCTTTTCTTTCTTTCCTACTTTCTCTCCTCCTCCTCCTCTTCTCTTATCTACTTCCCCTCCCCTTCTCCTTCTCCTCCTCTCTTCCCCACTCTCCTACTCTAATTTCCCTTCCCTTCCTTCTGTGGATGAGAAACTTAAGAGGGGCAGGAAATCTCCCACCACTTCGTTTTAACCCAAAAATTTAAATTCCACACTTGCAGCGTCTCCAAGAGTTTCAGGAAATGCTCCAAATCTGGAAGGTCCAAGAAAGTTCCTCTCTGATTGCTTTGAACTCTGACTGATCTTGGGCTGCTCCCTTCAGGGGAGGGATAGCGCAGATGCTCTTTTAAGTTCCCTTTAAAGACGAGAACAACATAGAAGTTTCTTTCTATATTTCCATCCTCTTCTGCTCCCCTGAACCTGAGGCTTCTCCAAGCCTCTTTCCAAGGGAAGAGAGATCAAAGGGAATCTCACACAGATCAGTTTGGAAAAGAGATTTTGTCTCTAAAGGGGAGGGGGGAGGAGAGAGAGATTGATGCCAATGGAAGAGAGAGAAGGTCCTCCCCAGACTGGGATGGGCTGCTGGCAATCATCAGTGGGGGGGGGATGGATTCCCCCATTGATCCTAATTTCATCCAACTGATCCTGGAGGGATTAAGGACCCCAGGGGGGAATCGGTAGACCTAGGGGAGAGGAATGGTCTGTATCAGTGATGGTTAAACTTTTTGGTGCCCCCGTGACAGACCCCCAAATTGCAATGTGTGTGCTCCCCGCGCATGCGCCCTGGGCCCCGTTTTGGCTCCCAGGTTGGTGCAGGAGGCTTTTCAGGCCCCAAATGGTGGGGGGGGGGAGGCAGCTAGGACTCGATGAGGGAGAAACTGTGGAGATCACATCCTAGCTTTCTCCTGCCTTCCTGCCTTCTCCAATCTTTACAGTTTCTCCCCCATCGCGTCCTAGCTTTCTCCTGCCTTCCTGCCACGGAGAGGCACCTGCAGAGGGTGGAACCTGCAGAGATCGGGGAAGGCCCGCCCCCGTGCACATACGTGGCAGAGACCCGAAGACCAACTGGCAGGTGGGAGGTGCATGCATGTGCTTTGGAGCTCGGCTGGGGCGACGGCTGGCATGCCCGCAGAAAGGGCTCTGCGTGCCACCTGTGACACGCGTGCCATAAGTTCGCCATCATGGGTCTATATGGTAAACTAATAAAAAATTCTAGGAAAAGATTGTAACATGAGCCGCCCTGTGGGGTGAGGGGGTGTTCCTGAAGGTGGGGAGGGGGTTGTTTTGAGAAAGGCTCACTGAGAATTGTGGGAACCTGTTTGAGGTTTGACAGAAACTTTGCTCCCCCCACCGTCCTGGAAAGAAAAGAAAAGAACCCCTCATCCATGGCCTTCTTTGCCCAAGTGGGGGCGCTGATAATGTCTTATTAATGGTAGAAGTGGAGCCCTCTAGCGGTGGGGGTGGGAGATGCACCATCAGGTACAAGGCAGGGAGGGAACCCCCTATGGGGATGTGGGGAGAAGCAGAGTTAATGGGGGGAAATTAAAGGTGCCCACCACACTTGACTACAGTTTGGCTAGTGGAGGTTTCATTGAATAGCCCCAAATGGTTGCCTTATTGTGGGCAGTGAACAGGACACCACTAAGTGATTGTCCTGCCTGATCCACCCAGACAGCTGCCAGGCAGAGGCTGCATTTTCTGGTCCATTGAATGGCTGCCTGGCAATGAGAACCAAACAGGGCTTCCCATGTCTTGGAGAGAGGCTGAAAGGGGGAGGATTCCTACCAGGGCAAACAAGCTCCAGACCAGGGACCCAAAGGGGCTGAATGTGTACAAGAGATCCGGCCATAAAGGAGGAAAGTTCAGTCTGCATTCAGATGCTCACCTCTCCTCAGCAGCGTCTCATTGCCATAGGACAAGTACTTCTCCAGCCACTCAATGCAGATTTCCTCCAGGTAGGTCTTCCATCCCTGATTCATTCCTTGAAGAGCATCCCATTTCCTCTGGGTGATCTGGGCCTGGGGATCGGGAGCCACCCAGGTGAGGGTCTCCTTGTCAAAGGTGATGAAGGTCCTCCCTTCGTAGCCATACCGGATAAACCCTCCTTTGCTCCTGTCTCTCCGGAGCTCACAGCCATACATCACCTGTATTATGTGAAGTCCTGAAATAGGGACAAGATGATGGTTTGGGGAGTCCTCAAGATAAACAGAGATCCCCCTCCCTGCAGGGACTTTTGACACTGGAGGGAGGCACTGATTCCCCCATTTCCTCCCTAACAATCAAGGAAAAGAAAGCCCCCATCACTAACCGCCCTTCTCCCCTCCCTCAACCCGCCTCCCTACATTTTCCCTCCCAGGGTGCAGAAACGGAGGGACGGAAATCCCTTCCATCTTTCCTTCTACCATTTTTCTGTTGGGGAGACTCAGGGGGGGGGAGGGAAAAGGAAGGGATGCCAGAGAGGGAACAATTGCCTGAATCTGCGGCTGCAAAGAGGGACTGAGAATCCCATGGCCTCAAAGAGGATCTGGTTGATCTACACAAAAGCTTGCAGGGATCCCTCTGTGACCATAAATCTTGGTCTACCTTCACAAATAGCACCAAGTCACAAAGGCTGGTTCCCACATTGTGCTAACCAGAAACAAACCATGGTTTAGTGCAATGTGGGAATGAAGCCTCGAAGGGCCACAAAGGAATATTTTCCTTAGCAACAGCAGCAAGTGGCCCAGTCTCATCTGGAGACCCAAAGGGTTATTGACCTTTGAAATAAAGTTTGAAGTTCACAGTCTCTACAAGGCCCTGGAGAAGATATTTCAACTTCGAGTGAACAGATTCTTGGATTTAAATGAAAACTGAATGTTTGAAAAAACCAAAAGGAAATCTTGAAATGTTTCTACTCCTGTCTGGGCTTGAGAGGGAGGAAGGATGCCAGGAATTCTCAAATCTAATGGAAAACCTCCTGTAAGGACAGTTGAACTAAACTGACCAGTCCTTTCCCTCCCTTTCCACACCCAGGAATGACGGATGAAGGATCCTTTCTCTGCATCTTCTGCTCAGCCAGAAAACTTCCCTTTGGAGGAAGAGGAAGAACCTCGGGAGCTGCAATCTGATCCTGCTCTCGAGAGGAGATTCCCTGATCTCCCCATGGGAAAAATAGTTGTGGATTTCTGCCCAAGATTAATCTCCTGCCATTCACAGGAAGGCCCTGAACATGTGGCAGCAGTTTTCAACTTCTGAGAACAAGCTCTGTCGTACTTCAGAAGCATCAAAAGCTAAGACAGAAATTGTCTTATTTCACTTGAAGATGAAATGTGTTCTTATTTCAAGTTTGGCACAGAACTGAATATTTGTGCAGTAAAAAGAAAGCACAGGGATCACATTGAAAAGGCAAGTTTCATTTTTTTATTGTTAGTGTAAGAACACTATTAATGCATCTCAAAGGTCTATGCATGAAACAATTTCAGCCTATCTCTGAGCCTGGATCTTCAGGGGTTTCCTGAGGTCTGAAAAATAGTTCAAGGGTTCCTTCAGGGCCAAAAGATTAAGAAAAGCTGCTTTAGAGGGGCTAAAATGTAGTAATATTTAGAACCGCTGTGAAGAATATCAGAAGCCACTTCTTTATGTCTTTTTTCTTTATTTTCATCAATTGTTTTCTTTTCTTGTACTTTTTTTTATTTTTCTTTGATTTCTTTATCACCTTTTCTTTATGTTACCTTCTATTAGTTTTTATCTTTTGTTTAAAAGGTTTAATACAAATTATATTAAAAAATTAAAAAGACCAACAGGATGTCAGCGATCATTAAAATGGTATTGAAAACACAGGCTAATATCACAAAGCCTTAGAGCAAACGGGCCTGGTGGCTCAGCAGACTGATAGCATTGTGATTAACACCAGCTGCCTGCAATTACTGTAAGTTCGAATCTCACCAGGCTCAAGGTTGACTCAGCCTTCCATCCTTTCTAAGGTAGGTAAATTGAGGACCCAGTTTGTGGGGGCAATAAGCTGACTTTGTATAAATATACAAAAGTATGAGGGCTATTGCTTAACGCATTGTAAGCCGCCCTGAGTCTCCGGAGAAGGGCGGCATATAAATCAAATTAAAAAAAAAAAATCAAGGGTGCAGCCACATCTGGAATATTGTGAGCAGTTTCTGGTCACCAGACCTCCGAAAGGAGAGGAGGGAGCCCGAGAAGGTCCAGAGGAGGCGACTCAGGCGATGGGAGGGAGGAAGCAGCCTCCCTTTGAGGAAAGGTGGGGACATTTGGGGCTGTTGAGCCTGGAAAGGGGGCTCCCCTCCACTCTGGCCGGTCTCCTTCCTCCTTCCTCCACCAGGGGGAGCCCTCTGGGTCCAGCTCTGCTCCCCTGAGAGGCCAGCAGGGGGCCTGGAGGGATCTGGGGAGATCCTGGGGGATCAGGGGCAGAACTGGCAGGGCTCTGGGGGTCACCTGTAGAGGGGGAGGGGCAAGGAAAGGGTGGAAGAATTGGGGGGGCTGCAGCTCCTTAGGATGAAAGGAGGGAAAATGGCTCCTGTTTGTGGAGAAGCTTTTCCTCAGCCAAAAGCAGCCTCTCTTTACACACACATTTCCTTGCAGACCCTCCCCAAATAAGGTTCCTTGGAGGTGAATCTTGTCCCCCAAAGATGGCAGAAGGGGGGGGGGGCTGCAGAAGAAAGAGTCTCCCTCCCTCCAGGGCAGCCCCACCAAGAGGGCCGTGCAGGAGTCCAGCCTGAGGGACCAAGGATGGGAAGCCATGAAGGCTCTGAGAGACTCTGGAAGGGCCCCAAATGGAGGTTTCTTTCTTTTCCGTCTCTTCCCCATGAAGATTGGGAGGATCCTGGCCCTGAGATCCCCCCCCCACAAAAGCCCCCACCCCCCATTTGGTCCTCCCGGCCTCTCCTTCCAACTGGAGGGTGAGAAGAAGCTCCTGGCATTTGGGCCCCTCTCGCCCCTCCAAAAAGGGGGAGAAGGAAAGGGATCTAGTCTCCCCAGGTGGATCTGCACTCGATCCCTCATTTCTCTGGGGTGGAAACAGACAGAAGGACGAGGACCTGCTTCCCCCAGGATCTAATTAGGATCCACTTGACTGTTTTTTTTGGGGGGGGGAATCTGTGATTCCCTTCCTCCCCCACAGCAGGAGATCCACCAAGGCCAGATCCTCCATCTTTCATGGGGGGAGGGGAGATTTCGGTCTCTTTTTACCTCAGTTTATATCCATATCCATATCAACATTCAGAAAGACAGAAGGATAAATTTAAACATCTTTTTATTAACTGCACTTGGCAGAAAATGTCAGCTATGGAGGGAAGGAGAAACTTATACTGATTTTTTAAAAAAGAATAAACATATAAAAAAAGACTTTTTAAAAGGTGTGGAAGCAGCCTTTCCCTTTGAAGGGACCCATTTCTTTCTCCCCCCCTCTGATTCCTGGGGAGGGGATTATGGGGCCGGAGGAGCCACCCGACCCATCACTCACCTTCGCTCTGATTGTAGCGATTCCTCAGGTTCTCCAGGTTTTCTCTGAACCATTCCTCAGAGTCACGTTCTCTCTGGGTGTTTCTGTCCCAGTACTTGGGATCCTCCTTCCCCACCTTCTCCATCCAGGAGACTCGAGGCTCCATCCTCTGGCTGTTGCTGTCATAGTAACTGAAGAGTTGATCATCCACGTACCCCAGAGTGACAAAGTGGGGCAGCCCCTGACTGGGCTCCGAGATGCCGGTGTAGAAATACTTCATGGAGTGGGAGGAGGCGCCTGGAAGGGAGCCAGAGGGGAAAAGTTAGGGGGCTTCAGCCAAGGACCCTGATCCCATGGAGGCTCCCATCTGAGGCTCTGGGGAGAAAGAAGGAAGAAGAGGAAGAGGAGAGTTGGGGGGCAGAGGAGGAAGGGGGGAAGGAAGGAAGGGGGAGATGGTGGAAGAAGAGGCAGGAGATGGAAATGAGGGAGTGACTGAGAGGGGAAAAAAGGAGCTTCTGGAGGGCCTGAAGAGTTGGAGGAAGGGAAGGTGGGGGGGTGAGAGAGGAGGGGAGGGGAGGGTCCCCCAAACTTTACCTGCCCCAATTGTGCCCTCCCCCCTTCCAGCAAGGCCTCCCTCAAACCCCCTTCTGGGTTGCTCAGCCTCTGCCCCAAGGAAGCTGCAATGGCTGCACAGGTAAAAGGGGGGATTCCACCCTCCCAGAAGCTCAAAAGCAGCAGGAAACCCCCCCTGGTCCCCCCTCCTTTCCATTCACAGAACAAAAAAACCCCATTCTGACTTCACTGAAGGCCAACCTGGACTGTTAATAGGTGCAGATTTGAGGAGGGGTTTTATAAAATGGGGGAGGGGGAATCCGGGTGAGACCAGAGGCCATGGGATCCTTTGGGGGAAACCCAAATGGGGAAGGGCAAAGGGGGAAGGGAAGGAAGGAGCAATGAAGTGATTTAGCCCCCCAGATCTTCCTCCTTGTCCCTGCCCCCCCCCTTTGCTGGAAAATCCCCCCTCCCCTCCCAGAGTTCAGCCATCTGAGCAAGAATCGGATTTTGAACCCAGGACTCAGAGGGGCTCCTCCTCCTTCCACAGAAAATCTCAGTCTGATTATCCCAAGATTTCTTCCTTTCAGCAACCCAATTAGGGCCCTCAAACTCTCCTTCAAAGACCTTTGCAATGCACCAGATTTCCTCTGAATCTCCCCCTTCACTTTCCCCAGAAGCTGCTCTGACCCTTCTCCTCCTCTGGGGCTGATCCTGCACTTGGTCAGCACAAAGAAAGGCAGAAATGCCCCTCAGCCACCTTGGAGGGGACTGAGATCCTGGCTACCCAACTCTTCACATGATCAGTGTTACTCTCAACGTAAAGGCCTAAATTAAGAGTTTCTCAGACTCCGACACTTGGACTTCAACTCCCAGAATTCTCCTCACCCCCAGAAAACCATTGGCCCCTCCACCCTGGCCCCACCCCCTGCCCCCAAGGAGGATGGTGGGAGTTTCTGCTGCCAGCTCCGATATTTCAGGGAGGGGGCTCAGCTGGGGTTTTTAAAGCCCCTCTGGGGAATCCAACATAAAGATACAAAATTATGTCAGTTTCTATCATGCAAACTCCAGAATGAGGAGCATCAAAGTTTTTTCAGCCCTTCTTTGGAGGACAGGCTCAATTCACAAGACAGAAAACTATGCTAAACTTTACTAACAATGACCAAAAAAAATCACATTAATTCACTGTTTAGTTCTTATTGTCAAAACAGAAAAACGGAAGAGACTCTAAGGTTGCCCAATGAACAGAAAAACAATGGCTTGTAAGTGGATTAAAAGAATTAAAAGAAAATAAGATTAAACTGGAAAATCTCCAAGGCCCCTTGTTTGTGTCCATTCTGAAGTCTCTTCAGATCAGAAATTATTTCAGGGCGCCAAAGATTTTGAAGATCATTTTCAGGATCGTTCATGGGACTTATTTGGGCAGAACCTGGATCTGCATACAAAAGGGCAGAACCTCCAAAGCCCAGAGAAATAAATACAGGTAGTCCTCGACTTATGACCATAATTGAGCCCACATTTTTTGTTGCTAAGTGAGACATGTTATGTGAGTTTTTTGCTCCATTTTACAACTTTTCTTGCCACAGTTGTTAAATGAATCATTGCAGTTGTTAAATGAATAACCCGGTTGTTAAGTGAATCTGGCTTATCCATTGTCGTTGCTTGTCAGAACGTTGCAAAAGGGGATCAGGTGATAGGGGGACACTGGAACCGTCATAAACATGAACCAGTTGCCAAGCATCCAAATCTCGGTCATGTGACAATGAGGACGCTAAAATGGTCATAAGTGTGAAAAAATGGTCATACGTCACTTTTTTCAATGACATTGCAACTTTGAACGGTCACTAAATGAACTGTTGTAAGTCGAGGACTACCTGTGGTCCTACTGCCCATTCCCTCCAGTATGGTCTCCCAGTCCTTCCCAGTCCAAGGCAAAGGCCTGGGCCTCCTTCTTCCTGCTCCTCCCCACAATCCCAGGGGCTTCTCAGAGCTTTTGGGGAGAGGGAGGCCCAGATCCACTTCCTGCTCTGGGGAGATCACATTTGATCGAAAGGGATCAGAGCTTTTCTCTAAGAGAAGGAGGGGGGATCGGACTCTCCGTGATCCAGAACCTGCTTCTTTCCCTTGTGGGGCTGAGCAATGAGAATGTCTGAAGTCTGCCTGAGAGGAGAAATGTGTGAATGTAACACATGTTGGGCGTCCTCACAGCCACGAATCCTCTTCATGTCAAAAATGACAGGTGTGACTATAACACGGGTGTGCATAGGTTTGGCATCCTCACAATGGTGAATGTGCCTCCAGTCAGGAACGGCTGGTGAGTTTGGGCCTGTCTGTGTCCAAGCAAGCGATTCAATTCATGGTCACCCTCCAGAGGTTCTTCTCTTCTTCTGCCTCCAACCCAGCCTTTTTCATCCTTAAGATCCTGACAGCTTTTTTAATGCCTTCAGAAATGCTGCTCCCTTCAAACGGTCGTTTCTCAGAGCAAACAACTGGGAACACCCCAAGGCCCCTTCCTGATTCCTAAGGAACAATTGTACTTTTTAAATACTTTGGATTCTGCAAACTGACCCACGCTGAGCAATCCTGGAATGGAAGGAGGAGGATTTTGGGTGGTAAAATCCCTGCCTGTTCTAGAGAAAAGCTCTGGGGATGTTGGGGTTTAGGATGGAGGAGAAAGTGAACGTCCTAAAGGCAGAAACGTTATTGAAAGAGTGTTTCTCTCGAGGCTCTTCTCCTGCTGCATTCACAGGGCAGCCTTATCCCGACCCTTCAATGGCACCAGCCTTGGCATCAGCCAATATACCAAACAAGCCAAGTCCTCCCAGCACCGGAAGCCACCAAGAGCCACAAAGTCCCCCAAAAGGCAGGAGAGGCGACCCAGGCGGAGGGGTTGGGCGAAGGCAGCCAGGAGGTTGGTGAATTGTCCTGATCCCATGGAAACGCCACTTTCCCACAACCTCCACTTTGAAATTGGGAAAGAACTGCGCTCGGGGGCGCCCAGGTAGACTGGACTGAGATCTGGAGGGGCCACCCTTGTCCTGCTCCCAGGGGGGCTCTAGGAGGGTAAGGATAGGCAGCAGAGTCCCATCCACGCTTTGGGGTCCCTTCTGAGAGTGGCCAGAGGGGGAGCGGACTAGAAAGAGGACCGAATCAGGATTCTCCTTCTGGGAATAAACATGGGGGGGGGAGAGATTCCCTGGATGGATTCCCAACAGTAGAAAAAGGGGCCGGAACCCCAGACGCCCCCAAAGGGACTCACCGAAGCAGCTCTCCAGCAGAGCGACCCCCACCACCAGAAGAGACAGCAAGCGCAGAGCCATCCTGGCCGCCATCCTCAGCCTCCGCTCAGGGCTTCTGAAGTCGCAGGCAGAGAAAGATGCGCCCCGGGTCACCAACAAGGAACAACCCAGAGCAAGCCCGTGATTGGGCAAGCTCAACCAGTAGAAAAAAGATACCCCTGTGTCGTCATTGTTGCTAGGCAGATGGCCAGGCGCAACTGGCCAGAGAGGAGGGGAAAGGAAAGCGAAAGTTCCATCAGGAAATCCCCTTCCAGGCATTCCGCCTCTTGGGGGAGGGGCAGAGCTGCGGGAGTCGAAAAAGAGAGTGGGGGGCTCTCTAAACCTGGGGGGAGGGGCGCAGTTGAGGGGGAGGGGATCAAAAAGGCCAGTGCAGTCCTGGGCTGCATCAACAGAAGGAGAACATATAGAGAACCCGAGAAATGATACTTCCGGCTTATCCTGCACAAGTGAGGCCCCCCTTGAAATGCTGGATCCACTTCTGATCTCCACGATTCAAAAAAGATGCTGAGACCCTGGAAAGAGGGCAGAGAGAAGCAATAAAGATGATAAAGGAAGATTAAATGGTATGAGGAACCATTGAGAGAGAGAGAAAGAGATGCCCAGCCTATGGAACAGAAGAACTGGGGAGTGGGGTGTCAGGATAACTGTCTTCCAGCACTTGAGGGACTATCCCAGAGAAGAAGGGATTGACCTCTTCTCCAAGGCCCCAGAGGGCAGGACAAGAAGTCATTGGGTTGGAAGCTTGTTAAACAGAGATCCAATCTAGAAAGATAATTTTTTTTTTAAATGAGAACCATTAATCAGTGGAATAACTTACATCTTGGAATTGTGAGTCCTCCCTCACTGGAAGTTTCCAAAAATAGACTGGAGAACGGTTAGACTGGGATGTTATTAGGTCTCCTGCCTGGAATTGAAGGTTGGACTAGGAGACCTCTGGGGTCCTTTCCAGTCCTATGATTCCGTGTTTTAGGTCAGAAACTCCAAATGATCTTCGCTCTGGATAAAAATGCTCAAAGGTTTTTTTGTGGCATCTTCAAGGCGAAGATATTTCTTTCTATGGGAAAATGCCAGAGGTATCAAATACAGTATATAAATTCCCTGTTTCCTTTTCTTCTCTGGTGAAGCCATGAATCTTGAAGAAGCTTCAAACTTTTCTCTTTTCCCAAAATAAATGGCTAATAAATAATGGCTGCTCTCTCCTTTGCTGGTTCTTCTGAAGACTCCTTGGACTAAAATAATAAATCCCTCTTTCGAGTTGTTATTATGATCCCGAAATTCAGCTGATTTTACATTTCGTACGATGAACACAGTATGAGAAACATTCAATTGTCTTTTCAGGGCTTGAATTGTCTCCTTTCTTCTGCAGTCACCTTTCCACTGAGCATGTACAGAGTGGAAATTAGGCCCTGTCTGTGGGGAAGAGGAGGGGATAGCTTGATAGTTCAAGAATATAAAATATAGAACATAAAAGAATATAAATGTTTGAAAAATCTTTCAGATCCCAGAGTCTCAGCAAGGCCCTAAGAATTTTTGGAAACAGGGATGAGGTGGAGAATGGCGCCACCTGCTGGTTTGAGGCTTTGCAGTTTCTCCTCTCAATTAGCAAAGTGGGGGGAAAGGAAAAACCATCCCATCTGAAGAAAAGTCTCAAATACTGTTTTAAGCACCAAGCCAGCCAGAAATTAATCAAATTACGGAGAAACAAGCCAGCAAAAGCTGGAACTGATCAAATTAGGTGCTGGATTATGTAAGCTCCCTTTCTCTTTGCCGGCTTCTTTGTCAGACAGACAGACAGACAAAGTACAGACCTGCAACAGGCAATTCCTGACGATGATAGGATAGGAAGGTTTTGCTCTCTTGTATTAAGTACAACACATGTAATCTTGTATACAAAAAGACAAATGTAATTGACCAGGTGTGAACACTAATCCTGTGAAAGAATTCCCATCGATTGCTTGTAAATAAGAAACTTTCTGTGTGAATATCTGAGCCGTATTTTACACAGCATGCTAGATTTGGACCTCTGTCCCAAAGGTCAGGCTCTCCATTTCTGCAGAAATAAACAGCTGAAAGTCTCCTCCCTCCTTCCAGCCTCACTTCTTGGCCAACCTTGCAGGGAAAACAGAACCCAATGGAGGCTCTGGCTAACCGAGGGACCTTCTCCTCCCTTTCACCCCTCTGTATCTCTACCGATGAAGAAGGCCGAGGCCATTAGAGGGAGCTTCCAATTCCTGGTGAGTCCCTGGAAACCGGCCGTCTGCAGGATGAGCCTCCCCTTCAGATCCTCCCTTTTCTCTCTGGGTTCCCAGCAGGCGTAACCTTCCTCTGTTTTAACTGACTGGTTGGTTTATGGTGCAGCATCTCCTGCAAATGGGATCCACACACAATACACACAAGTCCCTGAAGGGAAAATTCACCAAAGTTGCCGGTAACCCAATATGAGAAGTTTATGGAAAAGTACAGGGGTGGGTCTAAATTTTTTTACTACCGGTTCTGTGGGCGTGGCTTATTTTGTGGGTGTGGCTTGATGGTCATGTGACAATTAAGCAGAGGTACTGGTCTACAAGGCTTTTAACTGCTTCCAGATCTGTACCGATTTACCCATTTATTTTTTGCAGGCACTGATCTACTCATGTATTTTTGCAGGCACTGGTCTACTCATGTATTTTTGCAGGCACTGGTCTACTTATTTGTTTTCTTTTAACACTGATCAGCTGTAGGGTGGCCCTTTGAAGCCCCATGGCAAGAGTTTAATCAGTTTTTTTCCCCCTAGCCATCAGCTGGGACTCAGGAGGCAGCAATAGATTGGGGGTAGGGCCAAATAAAAGGTAAGAATAACGCGGAGGGTGGGGGCGGGCAGGGGGTGGGAGTGGGCAGGGGGTGGGGGCAGGGGGGCCAGAACCAGTTTGGTGATGTCATATCTTCGCTGCTACTGGCTCGGGAGAACCGGGCCGAACCGGGAGGAACCCACCACTGGAAAGGTATCTCTTAAGTGCATGACTGACTCAGTTACATCCGCTGTGTAAATCTGGCCTTTGTGGGTCAGGAGAATATCTGGCAAATGCGATGCTGGGCTGCTTCCTGAGCTAGGATTTTGGAAAAGAGCCAAACACGAGACAGGCCGAAGCCACTTAGGGCAGGCTTTGCCTATGAAAATCAGAGGAAGGAGACGGAGCTGCCCTGCCCAAGCGTTGTGGGGACTTTCTCCAGCCACAGCCCCACATGACTCATCTGGGGAGGACCCTGATCTACCCAGTTACGCACCTCCCCTCCCGCCTCTCCAGACTGCTTCCTTAGGGATGCCCAGAGTTGATTGATATATTAGTCAAATATACATAGCCATCCTAGGTGCACTACTCTAATGTAGTCCACATGGAGCTGCCATTGAAGAGCATCTGGAACAGTGGTGGGTTGCTACCGGTTCACACCGGTTCGGGAGGACCGGTAGCGATAAATTGGCGAGGGTCGCAGAACCGGTATTAATTGCTGGCTGGCCATGCCCCTGAACCGGTCCCCACCCCACCCAGTCACTTCCTTTTCCTCCTTACCATCCGGGCGGCTTGCCTGCCTAAGCTGCCTTCCCACGTGGTGCCTGCCCTGCGCCCCAACTGAGCTACCGCCTCCTGCCTAGAGGTAAGTCGCGCTACCCTCCCCCCCAGAGCATGCTGCGCCACCCCCACCGGGCTCACGACCTTACCTTCCCCGCCTCTTAAAAGAATCCCCCCCCCACGCCCTGTTTTGGCTCCCAGGGGCTGTACGGAGGCTTGCATAATTTTCAGGGATTTACATGCATTCAATGTCTATAGTCCAGAGCATATGTGTGTGTTTATTTTGTGCATCAGGTTGCATAGGTCCATCTTAATATGCTATTCCTGGTATGTGATGTTTTGTATACCTACAGAGAAAGAAGCGCTCTCGTGATCTTTGACGTTTACGCTTGCTGTCAAACAGCAGCCATAATACTAAAGACTGTTTTGAACAATATGCACGAATGGCTATTTTATATGTGAAATTATGACTGAAATATTTCTGCACCTATATTGGTTCTCACTGTCAGGAAGTTTCTCCTTAGTTTGAGGAGAAAAATTAACTTCTCTCTTTGTTCAGTTTCCATCCATTGCTTCTTGTTTTGCCTGTCCTGGTGCTTTGGAAAATACATGGCCTATACATTCTTTCTGGCAGCCCCTTAAAAACCTGTTGCCTCTCACACTCTTGGGCAAAGCATGTGAGCCATTTCCTCCTTTCAGTGGTCCATGAAAGGACATCTGTAGTATGTAGATAATAAAGTTGAAAAAAGGTGAACAACATTTTTACAGAACTATAGATACGTTGAGGCTGTGTGAGACAAGGAATGGCTGGGAGGGGAGGGGCCAGGCGAGGGACCCCTTGACGTGAGTGACATTGAGTTGGTCATGCCCACCCAGTCACATGACCATGAAGCATTCTCACCATCACATGACCAAGCCACGCCCATAAAATAAGCCACGCCCACAGAACCGGTAGTAAAAAAAATGTAGAGCCCATCGCTGATCTGGAAGGTTTCAGAGATTACAAAATGGGATGGTGAGGGCAGTTATACGCACCCCAAGAACGGCACACATTACATCTCTGCTCCACATTCATTGCCAGTTTGCTTCTGGGTCCTATTCAGGGTACTGTTTTTGACCTTTGAAGCCATTCGTGGAATGAGACCCCCTCTTCTGATTACATCTGTCCACCCCATCAGCTCTAGCCGAAGAGGTACTGTATTTTTCCGAGTATAAGATGCACTTCCCCCCCCAAAAGAGGGTGAAAATTTGGGTGCATCTTATACACCAAATGTAGCTTCGCCCACCCACTGGCCCCCCTTTGGCCTCTGCCTCCCAGCAATTTACCTCCTTGCAGCAAACAACAAACAGCCCATTTCAGCTTCAGCACAGCCTGATTAGCACAAGCAGTTGATTGTCAGTTGGATCAGCCTCCCGACCCCCAGCTGTTTCAGGCTGCAGGGATTTGCCATTGCCTGTTGCCGCGTGGGCCTCCGCTGTTGCTGCAACGAGGCAAATTGCTGGGAGGCAGATTTTTTTTTCTTGTTTTCCTCCCCAAAAAAGATAGGTGCATC